CCATTGTGAATGTATTAGGTTCATTTGGAGTGTAACAGAAGACAGAATCTATCAAATTTTTTTTTTTTTTTTTTTAAAGACTACAGCAAGGCAAAAGCCTGGTCATTAGTCCTAGGAGAGAAGAGGAATTCAGTAGAAAGGAATGGCCACTTCCAGCTGTGCATGCAAGCTGTTGCTATTTTCCTGGAGTTCAAAAGACACAATGCCAATACCCGATGAACTGCATCAGGCTATATACCCAACTCTTTTTTTTCATTGTAGTTGGGCTGATTTAGGCAGAGGAGGGTTATTGAAACAATATTGATAGGACATGCAGGAGAACAAATAAAGAGAATCAAGGCATTGGACCCAAAACATGAACGGACCACCATGGATACTTACAGGTTCCTTAAAGCTTCAACTTTGTTTGTGCCTCTGCTGGACATGGAAGCTATTTTGCTTGTTACTTTTTCTTGCTTTAATGGGAGTGAGAATATATACGCATATGGATTTGTCTGAAATCCGAGCTGTGAATTTACTGTACGCTTATGAGTTCGGTAGCCAGTGTTCAAGCATACATTACCGTGAGCTGAGGACAAGGGAAGTGAATATGAACTTTACTAGCTGAGAATAAGTCTTAGTGCATGCGATGCTGTTGGGGATTCAGAAAACATGGATTTAGTTTCTGATCTATTTACAATTTCCACTTCACATGTAACACATCACTTCAGTGGAGTTAGAGCTGGAGGTGCTTGGATATAATTGTGGTGGTGAGTATTTTCACTGATAGCTTTTTGCTGTGGCAACAGTATGGTGTTAGAAATCATGTAGTTCTCAGCGTCACTAATGTGGTCTGGGCTACGAGAATCGTCTTTTTCCAGAGGGTATTGGCAGAGCATCTAGGGTTTGGAAAGTCAAATTTATTAAGTGACAAAAGTATAACTGCCAATTCCCAGGCCGTGAAGCAGCGTCAGACACTGTCGGACAGTGATAAAGAAAGGACATGGAAAGCTCCATTAGAAGGAGAGGACTGAAACTTGGCCATTCCATTCCTGATAACATATAGAATCTTTCTTTCTCTACAACTTATAAAATACTAATTCTCCATTTCCCCTCAATTCTACTATCTCATTTCTATATGGCAATGGAGAACAGCTTCTATTCTCTGTCATGCAAACCCAAGAAAAACAATAACCAGGCCTTTTAACTTTCTTGTTCCTCTTCTCTAGGCAATCAGGTTTGTCAGCCTCCTTGATTTGTAGAGCCTCAGCCTGGACTCCGTTTCCTAACAGAGCAGTAGCGAGTGGAGAGCTATTTTGAATGTTTTAAGAATAATAGCGCTGTTTATATTCCCAGGCTGCTGTTGTTGGTTTTTCTTCTTTTTTCCTAGTAGTATGACATTGTTGGCTCATAGTTAGCCCATATTTGTCTCAGTTTAATTCTCAGACATTCTCTGGCAGTCTAACAGGTCACTCTTGTGTCATGCATTTGTGAATTTGAGCCTACAATTCTCAAGTGCAGGAATTGTATTTGTGTTTACTGAATTGCATCTTGTTCTTGCCATGCTGTTTCTCTGTCTCTTCAAATTCCAGTCCTGCTCTCCTACATCATGCCTCTCCTAGTTTAATGTAATTTGCTGATTTTAATAGGCCCGTTCTCTCTCTCAAAGCTCTGAAATCCAGCAACACTCAGTATATTCATTAGGACATAGGTGATGCCACCTGACGCACCCTTTGAAACTAACACAGAGCAATTGATAAATACTCTCTTGTATGATGATTATTATTTTAATTTACAGAAGTCTGTGGTTATAATCTTACATAGAGAGTATTTCTCTAGTTTAAGGAGGGGAATGATCTGTCAGACTGTACCATGACCAGTGAGATCAGTTTGATGTGGTTTCCATTCAGGAAATACACTGTTACTCATTTTGCTGTGCTAAAAAATGATCTGTTTGAATATTTCTGGGAAGATTGGCCTGTTATTTCCTGGCTTTTCCTCTTTTTCCTTGGCGGTATGTTGCCATTTGCCTATCTCCTGACCTTAGTAATTTTCAGAGGTAACTATGAATGTGTTTGTGAGGGTTTCTGATGCTTCTTGAAATGCCTGAGAGTATTTCAAGGGTAACAACTTTCACTGCAGCAGTATTGCAGACTCTTCCCTTCCTGCTCTTGCTGAGCTGGGCTGATCCTGGCCGGGCACACAGTGACTCGTCCCCCATAGCAGGAGAGACCTGACTACTCCGATGGCTGCTTATTCTTGTGATCTCTGACAAATGTACAATCCAAATGTAAGTGGCTGAAGCATGATGTTGCTTAGTCAACAGTTGCTTAGTTGCCTGATTAACAGGAGGCTAAAGGCTGTGAGTAGTACCAAAGTGATACAGACACAATAAAAAGCACAGAAGCTATATTAAATACATGTATGTTCTTTACTAAAAGTTTTGTGTAAAGATCAGTATACTAAAAATCGAAGCAAAAGAGATGACTACAGAAATACAGTATTGTTATCACATAGCAAGAAACAGCATGTCCAAACAGTTTATTTCTGATATTAATCATGTAATAAACAAAAGGCCTGTATTAAGCCTGTTTTGGCACTGACATTAAAATTATGTGAAAGTTTAGGATAAAATCTGATAGAAGGATATGAATTTCTTAAGGGGACCATCAGGAGACACTCTGTCAACTTTGCTGAGATTTATCTGGGATCTTAAATATTCTCCAAGAAATGAAAACATGTTCTTATTACATCATTACAAGAATCTCAACACTGTTCCAGTAGTAGCAGCGGAAGCTGTTACAGCTTTAGAGCTATAAACTTCTCTTTCTAGTATTATCTGTTTGCAGAGGTATATGGGTTGGGTTTATAAGCTTTTTTCCCATAACTTTGTTGGATATCACCTAGTTAAAAAGATTAACAAGAGTAGAAAATTCTAAGCCACTCTTGCAAGTGATCGTGGTAAGGTATCACTGAAGGTAGCATACTCTACTTTTAATTCACAGTTTGTTTTTTAAAGATACTTGTTTATAATGAATGACATAACCTATTTCATGGTAACTTATCAAAATGCTACAGTATGCAAGTGTATGTTTTGGTTGGTTTCCATATCCGTGTGACAAAGAAGCTGGGATTATTTTGATGGACAAGTCCCTCATTGTGAACTCTGTAGTGTGATAACTAGATGACTTGACTTTATAAAGCGGTATACCACAAGAGGGAGTAGGCAACTATTTGTAAGTAATGCTGCTACATACAATCCAGATAGCAATGCTAAGGATGCATAACTACTATCAAATGAAGAAAAGACTTTGATCAGTTTTCTATAATCTTAGTAATGCATTTCTATCCTGAGGTAAAATACAAATCTCCCATTTTCATCAGAGGCCTACTTAAAATTAGATTATTTTGTAAACCACAGATAGAAAGTTAGTGGAAGGTCATGAAGTCCCTGTCAGGTTAAAAGCCAAGCAGGTTGAAAGGATTTCCCAAAATGCACAGAAACTGTAAGCATCTGTAACAGAGTAGAGGCTTGCCTGCCGGATGTGAAAAGCCCTCTGTGCTTGTCTTCAGAAGAACCTTCAGGTTTGCCATGTTACAGGTAAAAGAGAGACTCACTTTTTTTTTTTGGGGGGGAATCACATTTGCCTTCTAATATTCGTTTATTAGATTTCCCCCTCCACCTCCTCAATAGCAGCCTGAAGTATGCAGGTCTGGTCCCAGTGCCTTACCCTGCTCCAGGCAGGTCTCCAAGAACTGCAGGAAGACACAGCCATGAAAGCATGTCCTATTCTGTATAAACAAACCTCTGTGCTTTTTTTCACTTTTTATTTTCCTGCCAATAAAACTGACTGGAACATTTCTATGTTGGTTTTCATTTCTGGCCCCTAATAGATCGTGTGGAGTTTTGCTTCTCTTATTGCAGGATACTTTGCATACCACAAAACTGTTTACACTAGTACTTTATACAGAGGAATAGTTCTGTCTGTTAAAAATGTGATATATAGCCTACATTCTGGCAGTGCTTGCCAGCAGTTTTGCAATGCAAAATTGTGAATTTTTGTTGTTTTGGGTATAGTATACTTAGAATATTTAAAATTTTGCTGAACTGCAAAAGAATTCTGTTATTTTAGCAAAATACATACTTGCTATCATCTACTTAGCAAAAAATGCATACTTACCTTATCTCATCATGTGCATATGACTCAGTAATGGTATAATTTATACAGCAGTAAGAACCATATAATTACTTCCCATCGAAGTATTAATTATAATTGTGTCAATCTTTGGAGTGTTGAATGATGATTACAGTTGAAAATTATTTAGTATTTACAGAAAATCTAAGTGCAATTTTAATAATTTGGATGATGCTTCCTTTTAAACACAATTATATATTTACTATATTAATTTTTTGCATACCCTTCAGTGGGGGTAGTAAACTTAAGTCCATTTTATCAGTGTAAAAACAATTTTTTTTTCAGTGAAAATACCTCTAAGAGATTTAGTGGAGATGAGCCTCTGATAACTCTGCTAACTAATACTGGTTGAAGATGTAGTTTAGTCCTCATGTGGAGATAGGGTGCTTGTGTACCATGTAAGATTAAACTCTCAAATCTGCAGTTTACCTCTGCTGTTCCTGCTAGTGTGCATCTCCAACTTGTATGCATTTATCATATGAATGTCTGAGAAGTTCAGGTCTATGAACAAAGGCTAGATTTGTGGGTAGCAAAATTTCAGTGAAAAGGATCATGCCTAATAAAAGAGGTTTCTGCACAAAGTGAGGTTCTCTGTTACTGTGCATACCAAGTCCAGCATCTATTATTTACATCACACTAATGCAATTACTAGAGGTCAAGGTCCTTTGTAACACTACAGGTTCCTTACTGAAGAAAGTGACCAGTTAGTGCCTGAAAATGCAGTCATGCATGGGAATCGGCATGAAGCATCTTCTGGGATTCCAGACACGGCCTTTCCCTTGGCTGTATCAAGTCCCTGTGAAGGGCAATGCAGCTCCCAGGCCTGCACACAGCTGTAGTACAGCTTCGGTAGGTAAAGCCAATTGGTGTTTGGGGATCCATTGCCACCTCTTCATCACTTGCCGCTGGTTTCTTTTGAGGAAGATTTACAGCAGACTTTGCAATGGTCTGGAAAGCCTGGTACTGGCCAGGCTTTCCAAAGGAAAAAAATGTGACTATCAAAATATTATTCTCCTTTTTCTTTTGCTCCTATATGGTACTGATAGTCATGTTTTGCAGGCAGTGTTCTGTCTCTGTCTACTGAAATACGTATTTAGACAAAGAATTACTTAAAAATGCTTTGTTGCCAAGACACTGAATGAAATGTACTAGTGACACCTACAAAGACAACAAAATGCTCTTCTCTTTCCTTCTGCTCTAAAACATGCAAAGTATCATAAAATCAACAAGTAGGCTTGACTGGATAACATGTATCTACATTAAGAGTGGCTGATTTCAATGTGTTTTGAAATGCTTCAAAAAGGTCAGATGCATTGCTTGTCACTGCTGCTCTTTTATGCTGTGTGATGTCATGGAACACTTTGAAGCATAGAGGGAAGTTTAGGTAAACTTTCAAAATTCACTATAAAAAATAAAATCCCGTTGCATCCCTGTTTAAAGATATAAAATAGGTAAAACTTTCAGAGGTTTTATTCTTCCATTTAAATGTTTTTGTCAGTCTGAGTTCTTCAGAAGAATTGAAGGAAAGAGCCACTTTTATTTACGTGATTTGGTTCAGAAGGGTCTGATAGTGGAAGAATTTTTCAGTACTTCCACTGGAACAAGTGGGATGGGCATATTCTGTTCACACACCACCGTCTCGTACAGGGGAGCAGCCTCCAGAGTGAGAGACGACAAAGAGATGGATGAAATGGGCTGCTGCAAGTCCTGCAGCCTGACTGCATAATTTGCAGCCTGTCCTGTAGTCCCAGGTGCTGCTTCCTCTTCCAGGCTAATGTTTATAGATATTTCATTTCTTTGACAAGGGTCCGTAAAAGAATATGGGGGGGGATCATCTGTGGGAATATATATTTGAGTTGCTCCTGGCCCCACGCATTCATCGTAGCTGAAAGAAAAAAAAGACTTTTTCATTAGATTCCTGTGAAAAATACCACAGTACATTATTTTCAGCATAACAGGGGCAGGTAAAGTGAGAAGAAAAGGATCGTCTGGTGTTTTGTTCCTCAGCCCACATCCTTGCTTACCCTGCCATATGAGACACTCGAGAGTATAATACTTAAAAGCACATCTCCAAATACCTAGAGATAATCCCAGAGGTCTCAGTGAATGTTCAGACCCCATCCTGCTGCATGAAAGTAACATCTGTGGCAGCACTGTTCAGCTGAGGTGCCTGGGGATAAGCCCCAGCTCCTTACAGCCGGTTACGCAGAGGCAGGAGGAGTAACACTGCTGGCTCACACAAAGCTGTGCATGCTGCACCAGATGCCATAGGTGCAACACAGCGGGGG